GACTTTTCCAAGAACACACCTGGCCCCCCTTCACGTTTAAAAAAATTTCATCTACCATTTGATTGGTTCAACTTGTCCCAACATTTTAGCTACTCCAAAAATCACGGATTTCTCTTTAAGACATCTCTTCCTGGTAACCTAAAGGGATGCTTTAAGATCCAGTCCCGGACATACACAATCAGCAAGTAAAAGACCTACCCACAATGGGATCCACACCTCCCATCAAGGTTTTAAATCAAAGGCATACAAATGCAGAGAGGTATTAAAAGCCTGCCCCGGCAGAAAAGAGTAGGTAAGCCGAAAATGTTAACGGTGTCCCAACAAAAGGGAGGCAGGAAAACGACTTGCTCGAGGCAACATGTGAGGAGGGCGAGCTGCAGGCCGAGTGACACGAGGGCGCCACACGGCCGGTCCTAGCCCGGCCGGGGCTGAATGAAGGTGGGCCCTGCCCTCGACCAAAAAAAGTCTCTACAGGTGCGCCCTGAGGAACTGCTTCCTCCATGAACACTACGAGGGTCCTCAAACCCAGGCCCCTCTCTGAAAGCAAGCCAGCCTGACACCTTCCGTGGACATTCCCACTCGTCTCCAAGTCCCGGGTGTAGGTTACCCGGATATGCGACTCCCGAGAGTGGCAGGTCCCCTTCCTCTTCCCCGCCCTCCGCCCAGGTAACCAGGCCCAGACCCTGGCTGCCTCACGCCAGCCGGGCTCCCCAGGGCCCTGGCCGGCCCAGGCTGTAGCCTGGGCGCCCCAGCTCCCGGCTGGCCGCAGACAGGGGCCCGAGCCCGAGCCGCGGGCTCCGCAAACTCCGGGGCTCCTCTCGCGCCCCAGGCCGCGGCCTCCTCCGCCCACAACGTGCGGGGCCCGGGGCGGCCCTGGCCCGCTCCCGCCGGCCTGCCAGCCCAGCCTGGGCCGGGCTCTGCAGAGCGCCGTCCCGCGCGAGCCGGGCAGGAGCCGGGCCAGCGAAGCCCACGTGCTTGCCCCAGAGCCGAGGCCTCGCGCGGAGCCATACTAACCACGGGCGCCATGGCGGCAGCGGAGGCAGAAAGGGAGGTGGGCGCTCTACGCAGACGCAAAGAGCTCGCAGCGCGCAGAGCACGCAGGCCTCAGGCCGTACCAATCGCTCGGCCACGCCCCTCGGCCGCCACGATTTCGCCCTGTTTTGTACGATCGGGGAGCGATTGCTTTTCCCTGAATGCAAAGCCCGTCCTATCGCAGGCCTTGGGCGGGGGGGGGGGGGGGGGGCGTGCTGAGGCAGGAGGCCCTGTGGCCTGTCCCAATGCAAATGATCGGAGGGGGGAGCTAGACTGGATGAGCCCAAAGAGAAATAGAGGGTTCGCTCTACTTTTGAAAGTTTTGGAAAGAGAAAAGAAATAAGGAAATTCACTAACCCATAAATCACCAGCTAGTGGTATGGGAGTAGAACCCACCAACTTGGGGAGTTGAGGCCTTTCTGGTCCTGGGGTCCTAATGCCCAAGAGCACTTTGGCTTCTTCCTACTTGAAGTGCCCAGCCTTGAAGCTGGTGCCCAGGGGCTGTGTCTCCCAGGGCTAGCCCTCCATGCTGCAGTCAGGTACACTCTCCAGTTTGACCCCTTCGCCATCTCAAAATACAAGCCGCCCACCCTCCAATCATCACCACCTAGCTTTCCAGCGCGTGCCTTCTAGTTTCCCAGTTCCAAAAATTCTTGTGCCAACACTTCTCAAACTGGCACGTAGACAGGAATCACCTGGGGATCTCCTCAAAATGCAGATTCCAATTCAGTGGGTCTCACTGGTTTGAGATTGTGCATTTCCCACAAACTCCCAGAAGATGCTGCTGCCGGTGGTGGTCTATGCACCCCAAGCTGAGTAGCAGGGATCTGCAACCCCCGAACTGAGATCCATTGACAGGACTGCTTTCCACCCACCCTCACCCCACTCTTGTCCTCACCAGTTACATCCTAGGGTCCTTCATTGTAATCACCCAGCTGCATACACCCTCCTCTCCCTTCCACCTGGTTGCAGTGGCCTCCCCTGGCAGAAATCCCATCCTGGCTTACAAGGGCTGGAGGAAACCCAGTGCACTGACTGGTGACTGGTCTAGGTTTAAACTCAGGCCTGTTGTGCCAGTTAACCACATACCAAACCCACCCTTTTATTCTTTTTTTTTTTTTTTTAATGTTCATTTCCTTTTGAGAGAGAATGTGCAAGTGGGGGGAGGGCAGAGAGAGAGAGGGAGACAGAGAAAGACAATCTCTTCACACCAATTTTCTTGGAAGAGTTGCCTCTCCGTGGACTGTCCTCCCATTGTCCGTTAAACCCACTCTGGTCAGGCTTTTGGCCCCCAGCTATCAGGACAGCTCTCATCAAGGTCACTGGTGATGTCCCCCTGCTAGGGACTGGGGTCAGGTTTCTGTCCTCCTCTTCTTGCTTCCTTAGCAGCATCTGACACTGTGGGTCACTCCCTCCTCCTTGCTGACGTTTCTTGGGGGGTGGGCAGGACTTAGGGTCTCCTGGTTCTCCTCCCACTTCACTGGCCACTCCTTCTCCATCTCCTTACTGCTCCCTCCTCTTCCCTGGATTGAAGGGCTGCAGGACACAGAGCTCCCTTCATCTTTATCTGCACTTGACCTTTGGTGTGACCCAAGATCATGCCTTTGAATACAACTCCCCAAGTCTCTGTGTGCAGCTTCCACCCCTCCCTGGACTCCTGACTCACAACCAGTGACCTCCTTGATATCTCTAGTCTAGAGTGTGGAGTGGACCACCCTCACCCCCATGACCCCACTCTCCCTCCCCCTCCCCCCCCAAACCCGTAACCCTTACACCCACCTCCGTCCTCAGCCCCACCTAACCCCTGAGTTCCTGAGTCTCCACGCACATTGGTCTACTTTTCTTTGCTTGACATTTATTCCAACTTCTGAGACCTTATACTTGCTGCTCCCTCCACTTTGAACTCTTTCTGGCTTTTCTTGTGTCTGATCACTTCTCATCCTGCAAGGTCTCGGGCTCAGTGCCTGTCTCTGCCCGGGATTACCCAGTGTACCCTCAGCTCCACCCCTCCCAGCTGCCCTCCTTCACATCATCCTGATAATTTTCTTTGGAGCACTTAGCACTGTCATTATTGTCTGTCATAATTGTACTTGTCCATGTTTATACTTGGCTAACCGTGGCTACTGTGGTCCCTCCCATGTGTATGACCTATGGCAGCTGCTTACTAACAGATGAAGACACGAATCAATGGATTAAATAATCCCAAGTATTAGGAAGGGACTTCCATTTCCTACAGCCCCTCCAGAAGGAAACTCCTGCATAATTCGCTTATGAAGTATCCTGTAGTTCTGTATATCAGTTCTATCACTTACTAGGGTAACATTTTCCACCTTCTAAGGCTGTTGTCTGGATGAGTTCATACAAGTAAAAGAACTTTGAATAGTATCTTGTCCACAACATTAGCTATTGTTATTAAAGTTCTTGTGGCTTAGAGCACAAATAGAACCAGGGGTAGAGAGGGGTAGAACAGGTCGTTTAGGGGCACCTGTGTGACTCAGTCAGCTGAGTGTCCGATTCTTGATTTTGGTCATGATCTCTTGGTTTCTTGGATGACTGTGCCCAGAGCCTGCTTGGAATTCTCCCTCTCTCTCTCTCTTTCTCTGCCCATCTCCTGCTCGAGCTCTCTCTGTCTCTAAATAAATAAACAAACAAACAGATAAATAACTTAAAAGAGAGAGAGAGAGAAAGAACAGGTAGTTTATACCTAGAATTCTTTTCCTTTCTCCCATTGTCAAACTCCTATTCATCCTTCAAAACCCAGCTTTAAATATTATCTCCTAGCTTTAAAATATTACATCCTAACTGATGAGATTTTATCCAGCACCTTCTGTGGGTCAGTCTCTGGGCTTGATTCTGATTTCAGGAGGGGCAGAGACAGAGGCTGCCTTCCCAGAGCTCAGGATAACATGTGCAGAGAAGGTAGCAAATGACCCAAGCATGGCCCGCACTCTGGAGAAAATAACACTGGGATAAACAAGGACCGGCCTGGCCGTGAACAGCAGAGGGAGCTCTGCCGGAAAGGCTCAGAAACTCCTCTCCCTCCCCAACCCACCCCTTCTTTGGGGAACTCGGCTGGTGATGGGGTTTGAGGCCTTCATTACTTAGAAGCCTAGTAGGCTCATTTCAGTTCATTAAACTCTCGCGCATCACCGAGGGGCAGGCTCTGTTTCGCCCAAGCAGAGAGGCTCTGAGAGGTCAGTCTCTTGGCCGAGAGACTCCAACCAGCCAGAGGCCCGCCTGGGATTCCAGGCCCTCCCACGCGCTGTCTGCGGAGGGGCGGCCGCTGCTCTCTGGCGCCCCCAATTGGCTGTGGAGGAACTGGGGACCCGCACACACCCACTCGTGTCCCAGCCCCCGTCATCCGGGAGAGAGCCGGCCTAGCCAGAGCGCCTCGGCACCCCTGCGGAGCCCACAGTCGGGGTCCTCCGGCCTAGCCCTGCGCGGCGCTCCTGCGGTTCCGGGCTCCGGGCTCGGGTACCGGGCGGGAGCCAGTCAGAGCCTCGGGCCCTCGCGCGGCGCGGTCCTTTCCAGCCCCCGCGTTCCCGCCTCTGCCCTCGGGGCGAGACGCGGAGTGACCGTGGCCGTGGCGGGAGCCCTCGTCGCGGCTCAGCGGCCGGCCTGGGAAGGGTGCACGGGAGCACCGTGCCCGAGCAGTGCTGCGGTCCAGCGCGGAAGGGGTGTCGCCTGCAGGTCACCCAGAGGACACCGGGAGGGGAATTCCTGGGGTGGGAGTGAGGCGAGGTGGGCGACGTGGAGGCAGGGGAGGGTAGACGTTGAGTAGGACGCATTGCTCGGTCCTGCGGCCTGACCTTCCGGGGCCACCAAGGGGGTGCGGGAGAGGCGGGGAGCGCGCAAAGGGCGCGACCCCTCCGCACGCCTGCTGCCGGTTCTCCCCGCCCCGGGCGCTCCAGACCCCAGCCCGGGCCTAGGTGGTCCCCGCCCCACGACCGCTGGACGCCCCGTCGGGCCGGGGCGGGGTAGACGGGAGGGAGCCGCGCGCGGGCAGAGGGGACGCGCGGGCTCCGCGGCCGGCTCCCCGCACCGTGCACGCGCCGCCGCCTTCCTGAGCTTTTCCAGAAGATGTCGGGAGCCATCTTCGTGCCCCTGGAGGGCCTGGGGGCCCCGGACGCCGCGAGCGGCCACCCGCTGGTGTGCCCGCTGTGCCACGCACAGTTCGAGCGCCCGTGCCTGCTGGACTGCTTCCACGACTTTTGTGCCGGCTGCCTGCGGGGCCGCGCCACCGACGGCCGCCTCGCCTGCCCGCTGTGCCAGTGAGTGCCCCAAAGCCCAGTGGTCGCCCCCCACCCCCCGGGGAGACTGGCCCCGTCTAGATGCGGGGCTAGGTGCAGGGAGGGCAGGGCTCTGACTCCCGGCAGAGGCCGCTGGGAGAGGCTGCCCCCAGCCCGCACCTCTCAGCCCCAGAATGCGGGCTCCCGCCCATTGTACAGAGCAGGTTAACCGAGGCCCGGAGTAACTGGCAGAAGCCCTCCCCTAGAAAGCCAGGAGGCAAGAGGAAGGCTGTGCAGGATCTCAGCACAGCAATCTAACACTGACAGTAATTCACTTGGGGGATCCCTTGAGTATTAGATCAACAGAAGCAGGTTATGTTGGCTCAAGTTACAAGGGCTAGCCCTAAGTTTGTGCAATGCGATGAGAAAGGGTAGAGGGGAGGTGTCCACCTCTGAAACCCCAGGTCACCAACCCCATGGGCCCCCAGGATTCGCCCAGGATGGGGCAGAGTGGGGGACAGGGTCAGAATGAGCACTGGGTGAGATATTTATAGCAGACGCCAGCTCCTATTTTTAGTTCCAGCCTGAAACGTGGGGGGGGTGGGAAAGGAGATAAGGAGCCATGGGGAAGGGGCATCTGGATCTTGGCTGCAGCTTCTCCACAGACACCAGACGGTGGTGAAGGGCCCCAGCGGGCTCCCTCCTGTGGATCGGCTGCTGCAGTTCCTGGTGGACAGCTCAGGGGATGGCATGGAGGTGGTGCAGTGTGCCAACTGTGACCTGGAGTGCGGCAAGCAGGCAGGGAGGCCTGGGGGGGAGGGGGGGGCGGGGGCCGGCCCGGGGGGGGGGGAGGAGGAGTGCCCCACATGTCCTTAGAGGAGTATTCCCTCCCTGGATTTTCCAAAACCTAAGTCACCCTGGATCCCAAATGTGGGCCCCGTTTTACAGGTGGGAAGACTGAGGTCCAGGACAAGTGACCTGAGGCACTAGCCAGATAGTGGCAGAGGTTAACATCATTCCATTGGGGGAGGGCTTACCAGTCCCCAAACTTGGGGTGGAGTTGGGATGGCCCTTGAGGGCTCCTACCTGGGGAGCTGACCAAGCTACCTGTACCCAAGGGGAAGTGAGGACAATGTGCTGTTGGAGAGGGGTGTTCCTGCCCCCCTCCCCCAGTCTAACAAAGAGGAGCAGAGGCCAGGCTTCAGGCTGGGCTGTGAACGTGAATGACACGAGGGACTCTGGCTTGTGAAGGTTGGATAAGGTATTCCAAGCCCCAGGAGGACAGCCCTGTGGGGCCAAAAGCTCAGGATGTGCTGGGCAAGTGAGAGCCGACAGTTCAGGAGGTTAGGGGTTGGAGGTAGGGACAGCATGGAAGGAAACGGCCTTGAATGCCAAAGTAAGGAGTTGGGTCTGTGCTTACACAGCCATTGTTGGGGTCAAAGCCACAGCGACAGTGGGAGACCTGGCCTCTCAGCCCTAGGTGTTGCGTAGGGGAGGGAACCAATGGGCCCTCCTTCCCTCTCCCAGCCAAGTTGTGACGCAGATGGCCAGGGTGGGCACCGTTACTTGGCCACTGTTGAGGGTGCCAAGGAGGGCTTGAGAAGCCTTCAAACACGAAATTTTGTTGTAGGTAAAATGTTTCTGCTCCCCCCACCCCTCATCTGTAAACTGGGTATATTCAAGCGTCATGATTACCCAGAAGGGCTGCATTTAGCAGCGTGCCTGCCCCAGGCTCAGACTGACACTCTCTGACACGTGCGCACTCAGGGACTCAGGCTCCTCGGCCCGTGGGCAGGCTGAGGCTGCGCTCGGTCCTCTGTCCTTAGGACGCAGAGACCACGTACTTCTGCAACACGTGTGGGCAGCCGCTGTGCGCACGCTGCCGCGATGAGACGCACCGGGCACGCATGTTCGCGCGCCACGACATCGTGGCCCTGGGCCAGCGCAGCCGCGATGTGCTCCAGAAGTGCAGTGAGTGCGGCGTGTCGGGTGGGGGCCGGGGCCGGGGCGGGCCGGGCGGGTCTGCCCGGAGCCCTCACCTCCGTCCCCGCCGCCCCGGGCCGCAGCGCTGCACGCCGAGCCCTACATCATGTTCTCCACCGACAAGAAGTCGCTGCTGTGCATCCGCTGCTTCCGGGACATGCAGGGGTGGGTAGGGGGGAGCGGGAGGCGAGGGGGTGCCGGAGGGCAGCCGGGAGCGGGGCTGACGTGCGGGGTCCCCGCAGGGAGAGCCGGGCGCACTGCGTGGACCTCGAGTCAGCCTACGTGCAGGGCTGCGAGCGGCTGGAGCAGGCGGTGCTGGTGAGCGCGGGGTGCCCAGGGCGCCAGGGCAGGGGAGGTGCATGCCTGCCGGGCTGAGGCCGCCCTGTTCCCAGGCCGTGAAGGCCCTGCAGACGGCCACACGGGAGGCCATCGCGCAGCTGCAGGCGATGGTGGAGGAGGTGCGGCGCAGCGCGGCGGAGGAGGAGGCCGCCATTCATGCCCTCTTCGGCAGCATGCAGGTGAGGGGTAGTGGGGACCCGACAGCCACAGGCTGAGCATCCTCATCAGCCACAACCCGGTACCCACAACACCCCACCTCCCGCCCGCGTGGAGTTTCCGGTGTAGCAGGGCAGCCGCGCATGGAGTTACTTAATGACGGTGGCCAGGAGAGTTCCAGCCCCAGGCTGGTGCCAGAGGTGCGGGGTGGTGAGGGAACACTCCCCGCCCCACCCCCCACCCCCGGGGGAGCTGCTGACATTTAGGGTGAGGGCACCAGGACTCCCAGGCAGTAGGGGGCAGGCAGGAAGAGCCAGGAGGTTGGAGGCACAGCAGCGGAACCAGGTGTGTGGCTGGGCCCCAGGCGTGGGGGAGTGCTGGGCCGGGAGGTGGCGGGCTGACCGCGCCCAGTCAGAAGCAGGCCATCCCTTCCAGGACAAACTGGCCGAGAGGAAAGCGCTCTTGCTGCAGGCGGTGCAGAGGTGAGTGGTGGTGGTGGGGTCTCCACTCCCTGTCCCTTGGCCTCCATACACCTATCTCCCCGCCTGGACCTAGGCAGACCCTGCCCCACCCTGGGGAGCAAGACATCTGGGCGAGGAGGGCCGGGTGGCTCAGGGCGCCGGGGAAGGATGCACAGAGCTGGTGGGGAGATAGAACCTCCCCGTTCTGAGCCCCCCCCCACCCAGGTGGGGGTGGGTGGCACTCCCCTAGGAGTTGAGGCTGCCTGCCCCTCCCCCAGCCAATACGAAGAGAAGGACAAGGCCTTCAAGGAGCAGCTCTCCCACCTGGCCACTCTCTTGCCCACCCTGCAGGTAAGGGGAGCTGGGGGTACAGGGCTGGGCACTCACCCCCCCCCACCCCGCCATTTATAGCGCAGTGTCCCTCCCGCAGGTTCACCTGGTCAACTGTTCATCCTTCCTCAGCCTGGCCAATAAGGCTGAGTTCCTGGACCTGGGCTATGTGAGTCCCCCTGGCTCCTGAGGGGTCTCCCTCTCCCCATCAGAAGCCCACCCTGCACACCCAAGACTCCCACCTCGAGGCCTGGCAGCCTGCCACCCGGGGTCTGGACCAGGGCTCTCTGCGGCTGACCTCCTCCTCCTCCGCACCATCATCTGCAAACCATTCAGGGGCCAGCTGAGTCCCTTTTATAAGGACGGCGAAGCCTGGAGGGGAGCGGGAGCCTCCACTCCGCCCACAGTGTGGGGTGTCTACTGAAGTCCGGCTCCCCCCAACTTGCCTGTGGATTTGGGGGCTGGGGTGGCGTGGGGGTTCTGGGACAGTCCCAGGGAAGGGACTCCAACACGTACCAGGTGAGTGCCAAAGTCAGCCTTGCCCTCGCGGCGCGGGGCCTCACTGTCCTGCCCCGCCAGCCCCCCTCCCCCGCTCCCGGGGGCCTGAGCGCCCTCCTCCCGCTGCAGGAGCTGTTGGAGAGGCTGCAGGGCATCGTCACGCGGCCGCAGCGCCTCCGGCCAGCGCAGAATAGCAAGGTGCGGGGCGGCGCGGGCTGGGGGGGCCGGGGCGGGGCCGGAGGGGGCGAGGAAGCCGCCTCACCAGCCGGTCCCGCCGCCCAGATCGCCAGCGACTACCGCGCCGAGTTTGCGCGCTGCCTGGAGCCGCTGCTGCTGCTGGGGCCCCGCCGGGCGCCGGGGGCCGGGGCCGCCCCCAACACGTGAGCAGCTGGGGGCGCCCTCCCTGCCGCCGGGGCGGGGTGTGGGGGCGACACGAGGTACCCGGTCGCGGTAGGGACAGGCTGCCTGCCGCCCTCCCCAGACGGAGGGACCGGAAGCCCCGGGCAGACCTGGCAGAGCAGAGCCTGGTTAGGGAAGGACAGAGAGGACCCGGGACTGTCCCCAATTGCCGCTCATGTCCTCCGCCACTCGGCCCCCGGCGCCTAGGGACTGAAGGGGAGGGGCAGCTTGGGGTAAGGCCTGACTTCCGGGCCTTAGTCTGGAGAGCCAGACACCCAGGAGGACTTGGGAGAAATGCCTGAGCTGGATGTATGTGCCAGGGACCCCGGGGACCCGGTCAGGGGAGACTGGGCGTCAGGTGAAATGCCCAGAGTCCCGCGGGTGAGTGAACAAAGTTTATTATGCACCAGCCCTGACACATCTGGATGGACCTTTTCCTGTACATCGACATTACCCTGGATTTTTTAAAACACCATGCTGATGTCCTTGGTCTTGGGTGCGCCTTGCGCAGACTTTTTCAAAGTTCCTAGGTGGTTCTGGGGTGCAGTCCCGGGGAGAGGCTGAGAGCCTGGAGAAGGGGAGACCCTCCCAACCCCCCACATCTGCATCCACACTGGCTCTCTCCCCCTCAGGCTAGCAGCGAGCTCAGGCCCCAACGTGCTGATGGGGCCCAGCTGCCCTTCCCCAGCGGGAAAGATGCTGGGGTCACTAATCCAAAAGCCCACGCTGCACCGGTCCATCAGCACCAAGGTGCTGCTGGCCGAGGGTGAGGATACACCCTTTGTGGAGCACTGCCGCCACTATGAGGACTCCTACCGGGTGAGTGGGGCCAGGGACCTGCAGGCTGGGAATGTCCCCACCCCTGCCTGCCCAAAGTGCAGTGGCCAAATCGAGTCCCGACCACCTGGCCTGGAGGCTGTGCCTCTGCTGAGGCACGCTCACTAGGTGTCTGTGCACAGCGCCTGCAGGCAGAGATGCAGAACTTGAAGGACCAGGTACAGGAACTGCACCGGGACCTCACCAAACACCACTCGCTCATCAAGGCGGAGATCATGGGAGACATCCTGCACAAGTCCGCACAGGTGGACGCGCAGATCGCCTTGGAGTACGCCTCCCTGGAGGGGATGAGAGCGGTCTTCCAGGAGGTAGGCCCTCCCCGGGCGCTGGGCCCCTTGCAGCCCCACCCGTCGGGCATACAGGGGAAGGAGAGAGGAGGAGGAGCTTGGCCTGGTCCATCATGAGGCCCTCGTGTGGCAGGCTCTGGAATGAGGCTCTTTGCTGCCTGGAACCCCGCGACCTAGCTGGGGGTGCCCTGTGGACCTGAGTAGCTACAGGACAGAAATGCCACCAGTGGAAATTCCAGCTGATGACCATGTGCAACGTCCAACTCCCTTTCTCTTTCAGATTTGGGAGGAATCCTACCAGCGGGTAGCTAACGAGCAGGAGATCTACGAAGGTCCCAGGCAACTGCTGCTGGGTGCACCCCCATCCTGGAGCTAACCCACGTGTTAGCAGGGGCAGGAAGTCAGTTACCCACTAACCAGATACAGACTCCCAGGCTCCTCCCCTTAGCCCTTGACTTTGCCTCACGATTGCTAATGCCCCAAAATGATGCATGTGAGGTCAGGATTCAGTAAACACAATACCTCCACAAGTCTCACGATGCTCTTTAATTAAAGAGGCAATCGATGACGTAGTTGGGATAGATACGTAGAAGGTGTGAGCCTGACAAGAAGAACCTGAAGCCAACAAGACCCAACGCTCTGGCATTGGCCCCCACAGCCCAGCTCCGTGACCTTCTCCAGCTGAAGCAGGAGAATGCCTACCTGACCAGCATCACCAAGCAGATCACGCCCTACGTCCGCTCCATTGCCAAGGTGAAGGAGCGACTGGAGCCCAGGTGAGAGCAGGGGTTGTTCACAGGGGAGCCAAGACACTTCTGAATGTGTGTGGACAAGGTGCCATACGTGCAGAAGAGCTCCGTTTAGGAAGTCAGTGGGCCAGGTCACGAGGGTTTACTCAGGGCATCTGGGCAGACCAGGTGCTGGACATCTCTCAAAGACACAGAATGAGTTGGCTGCTCAGAGTTTCTGCTTCGAGGCACAACATTGCCCACCTCTAGCCCTCAGGAACAGGCCAAAGCAGAAGACACTTCTTAGGGGTGAAATGAGGGCCCTCAACAGATCCAGGCAGCAGGACACGGAGGAGAGGGCAGAACTGCCTCACTACATGGTTAAGCCAAGTCTAGGCTCTCAGCACCATACTTGGGTATCAAAAGGTGTTACAGTGGCAGAGGGATGTTGGTGGCAGGTTCTCAATGTGCTTGTCTCTTGCATCACCTGGTTCCAGGGTGGGCTGGTTGCCCTGTAGGTCTGACCGCGGTCAGCCTGAAGTCTTTCTCCACCACCCTCTGGGGGACTCCCGTTGCCTTGCCCCTGCACCCTTCCGTGACTCTTTGGAAAAGGGTGCACAGGAGGTACACATTTTGGACAGCACAAGTCTGAAATGTCTATATTCTGCCTTTGCACTTGACTGATGGTTTTGCTGGGTATCGAATTCTAGGCTGGAGGGGTGCCTGGGGTGCTCAGTTGGTTGAGCATCTGACTCAATTTTGGCTCAGGTCATGATTCCAGGGTTGTGGGACTGAGCCCCTCACCAAGCTCCTGGCTGAGTGTGGAGGCTGCTTGAGGTTCTCTTCTCTCTTCTCTCTCTTATCTCTCTCTCTCTCTCTCCCTCTGCCCCTCTTCCCTGCCCGTGCTTGCCGTCTCCCTCTCTCAAACAAACAAGTCATGAAATTCTAGATTGGAAATGATTGTCCTTTGAAGGCATCACTGTATTTCCTTGCTTCCGAGATTGTCTTTGAGAAGTTCGAAGGCATTCTGACTCCTAATCTTTGTGATGAGATCTACTTACTCTCTTTCGAAGCTTCTGGAATTTTCTCTGGTCCCAGCATTCTGAAACTTCACACTGGTGAGGGTCTACTTCCATCATTAGGAAGGACCTTTCAGTCTGTAAGTTCATGCGCTTCAGGTTTTTTGTTTTGTTTTGTTCATTTTGAGAGAGAGAGGAAGAGAGCAAGCCAGGGAGGGGCAGAGACGGAGAGAGAATCCCAAGGACGCTCAGCTCCTTGTGCAGAGCCCAATGTGGCATTTGAATTCAGGAACTGTGAGATCATGACCAACCTAACCAACCAAGCCACCCAGGTGCCCCCATGTCCTTCAGTTTTGACATGTCTTCTTGAATTAGTTGATTTCTTCACTTCTTCTCTTCCTGGAATCCCTATTATTGGACCATTGGCTTTCCTGGGCTGATGTACCTCCTGGGTACTTTCTTCTTTGTCTTTCTGCTGCACTGAGAGATTTCTTTTCTTCCAACCCTTCTGTTGAGTTCACTTTTGAAGAAAATTCCCAAGAGCTCTTTTTAAAATTTCATTGTTTTGGGGGGCGCCTGGGTGGCTCAGTCGGTTAAGCGTCCGACTTTGGCTCAGGTCACGATTTCACGGCCTGTGGGTTTGAGCCCCACGTCAGGCTCTGTGCTGACAGTTTAGAGCCTGGAGCCTGCTTTGGATTCTGTGTCTCCCTCTCTCTCTGCCCCTCCCCTGCTCGTGCTCTCTCAAAAACAAATAAAAATGTTTAAAATTTGTTTTCCATTTCCAAGAGCCCTTGTTTTGTAACATGGTCTTCCCCCCCCCCACCCCCAACACACAGCATTCTGTTGTTTTATGGACAGTCTCTTACCCCTCCAAGGCTGACAAGTGTTTGTTGTTTCTTTCTCCCTTAAGTCTCTTTCCTCCAAGTTTTTGTTTAGGTTTCCGTCTTCCGTTTTATTTTATTTTTATTATTTTTGGATTATTTTATTATTTTTTTTAATGTTTATTCTTGAGAGAGAGAGAGAGAGAGAGAGAGAGAGAGAGAGGGGAGGGGCAGAGTGAGAGAGGGACACAGAATCCAAAGCAGGCTCTAGGCTCTGAGCGCACAGCCTGACTCGGGGCTCGAACTCACAAGCCGTGAGATCATGACCTCAGACGCTTAACCAACCGAGTCACCCAGGCGCCCCTCTCTCTGTCTTCCATTTTAAGGACTTTTCTCAGGCCATCCTTGATCGTGTGCTCATATTAGGGGTGGGGGGCAGAGGGGGCAGGCCAGAAACTCAGAGCACATGGGTGGCACTTCACTGCAGGGGGGTGGGGGGACCAGGGTGGGCAGTGCTTTTTTCCTGTCGTTCCCCAGTCTCCCTCCTGGCGGCCGCTGTGTGGAGCATTTGCAGGCAGCCCTGGTTTTCGTTTCCCACCCGTGTTGTACCCTGGTACCTTCACAGAGACCAACCCTTCAGGGGGCTGGGGTGGGGGAGGGGAGGCCGCTTGGCCGTGGGCAGCTTGAGGCGGCCCCCTCCCTATTTCTGTCCTGTCCTCCCTGGTAGAGGCGATTCCGTGGTGTGAAGGCAGTAGGCTCGGGCGTGTCCCGCGTCCGTTCCAAGCTCGGGTTTCTCCCGGCTGCTGAGGTTACCACTGACCCTCCAGCTTCCAAAACTGTGGTGTTACCCTTTTCTCTCCTCAACCTGGAGAGGCTCCTTCCCCTGTTGTTTTGGCCCCTTTCCTGGAGATTTCGTGAGTTTGAGGAAGAAGGAAAACTAGTGTGCGGTGACGGTGTTCCTCCAGAACTGCCAAGCCACCTCTCCGGTGACTATTCTGACATGCGCACGGAGAGGCGAAACGCAGCCTGGCCTCTGCACAATTGCGCTGAAATCCCTGTCTACCCGGGACCAGTTGCCGCGTCGGCTCCGAAGCTGCCGTTCCGAGTCGCTTGCTCCGCAGACGGCGTGATTCCGTCTATGAGACGTTTATGAAATGTCAAAACCAGACAGAACCACCTCTGGCATTAGCAGTCGGGATGGTGGTCGTCCCCGGGTGGGGGTGGGGGGCTCTGGAAGGAGGAGACGTTCTGGGTGCCACTGCCCCACTTGTGCAGGCCACGTGCCTGTCCCGAGGCTCGTTCTTAGAGTTTGCGCACGTTTCCTTCTGTGTGCTGCTTCGGCGAGGAACTAGCTTCAAGGACGTGCTCCTGCCCGCCTGTCTCTGGGGACGTGGCACCAGCGGTGGGTTTTGGCAAAGGGAAAGGAGGAGCTCAGGCTGGAGCCCAGCTCCTGGAGGTTTGGGGGGGCGGGGGAGGCTGGCTGCCTCTGTCCTTTTTCATGGCACCATTTTCCAGCATCTGGCGTTGCTGCCTCTGCTTCCTCCTCTCCCAGGGCCCGCAACCCGCCCCCGCCACCCCCGTCCCCACTGAGCCCGCTCCTGTGGCCTGTTGTCCTCCGCGACCTCTGGCTGCAGCCCTTGGCCTCTCCTGGCGCTCAAGAGCAGGCCGCTGTCTTCACCAGGCTCCTGTCTTGCTTCTGAGGCAGCCCACACCTGTTTGCCTCCTGCCCTTCAGGCTGTCCCTTTACAGACTGGCCGCTCTGCCACCTCTGCTCAGTGCCCAAGTGTCAGCTTTCCGCAGGGCTCAGTCCTAGAGCCTCTCCCCATCCCACACCCTATGCTTAAGGGGCTCCATCTGGTCCCCCCACTTTAAAACTCCAGTGTGCCACTGACCACCCCCGAGCCCTCCCCAGTATAGGCCCCCCTGGGCTCCAGACCCCTCTCTAGCTGCCTCCTCCTGGGGCGGGGTATGTCTCCACTTGGACAGGTCATGGGGGCCTCAGATCCCACAATGGCAGAACCCCATTTCCTCCCCCAAACGTGCCATTGTTTGTACCCCTCAGGAGTGGCATCACATCCCCCAGGTGCCCAAGTGAGAAGGCCAGGGGGCCTTCTGATTCCTTTCCTTCCTTCGCCCCATTTCCTACATACCCTGAATCCTGCTGACGTAACTGTCTCTGCCCACTGTCCCCACGGCTGCCCCAGGCCACGCCACCGTCACTGACCCTCTCTGGCCCTTCTAGGGTGTTCCACAGCTAGTGGCCTTCTTAGAGCCTAGAGTTCCCATCACTCCGGGGCCCAACAGCCCTTTTGGGACCCTCCCTGTCCACCTCTGACCACGGCAGCCCCTGGCCACACCCCAGTCATAATGGCCTTTCAGTTCCCCAGAGAAGCCAGACCGGATCCCCCTTCCCAGATTGTCCCAGGGATCCTGGGACACGCAGGTGTCCGTTCCTGCCATTCCCCACCACCTGGCCCCGCGGTGCCTTCTTCCCAACCACAGCACAGCTGCCGTCCCCGGGAGCAGCTCTGGCCCTCAGTAAACAGCTGAGACCCAAGCCCTAGGCAGGCCCGAGTGCCTCACTCAGTTTGGTCTTGTCCGAAGACGGGGCTGAAGGACAGCGACTGGCTCCGCTGCCTTCGAGCCTCCCGGGAACGGTCTCTCCCGCACAGGCTTCAGGTGCCCGCGGGGGAACAGCTGGACCACCTACAGAACACACACGAGGAGGACGTCAGTGCTGAGACCCAGGCCAGGTAAGGCGAGTCTTTCCAGCCGATTCGATCTCAGAGACAGGTCCCGGTTTTCTATCCCATTTGGTCCAGGCTTGCCGCTGACCAGCTCTAGAGCCTCGGCTGGGTCTGTTTGTAAAACACGGGTCAGAGGGGTTCTGAACCCGGATGGCGGCTTCATAGAGGAGACGTGACCCGCACTCCAGAATTGCAGACGGCCACGGCTGCTGCCTGCACCACTCATGCCACTGAGGGCTGCTGGCTCACAGGCATTTACACCAAGTGAGTCAGATTCACTTGAATGAGGAAAAGTAACTGAGGGTTCTCTCCTCCAAGTGGGAGCATCACTAGTCACTGGAACCACGGGGTTTGCCAAAATCCTTGCCAGAGAAAGAGAAGAATGTGTGGTAACAGATCCGTCACCGTCACGGGCTGATCTTGTAGTATTTTGCTCTCAGTTAAGCCTGCTGCGCACGGGGCAGAGACCAGGGCTGCAGGAGACCAGAGCTAAGAGAGCTTGGAGGGCACAGAGCACCTGCCACGGTCTAGAGTGGCTGGTGACAGAGCAGAAACTAGTCTCACCCTCCTGGGCACCACACTCGGCTCAGATGCGTCAGAGGACTGTCCATTCAAAGCTGTTGTCGCGAGCCACAGACATAGCCTGAGCTGCCGATGTCTGGCAACTAAAAACCATTAGAGACAAGAGGAGAATCCTTTAGGAGAGAAGGTTCCGGCTCACCCACTGGTGTCGTCCAGAAAGGCTTCCCATCCCAGGAGCCATGCTGGTGCTGGCACACAGTGAAATGGGGGGTGCCAGGCAGCACTCATGCCAAGTGTCCCTTTAGGAATGACCCAGTGAGTGTCGCAGAGAAGAGAGAGAAGACGTCAGAACCCAGAGGGAACAGCCGGACTCCAAACAGCCTCAAAGAAGAGCCTCCACTGAAAAACAAAGACCCTCACAGACCCAAACTGAAAAACGGGGGCGGGGGCCCAACACAGAGAGAGCGCCCGATTTAGCAAACGCGACTGGTCCGGAGGGGTGGGCATTTCACAGCACGCAGGTCAAGACTGGGATATTTAAGAAAGGTTATTCCCACCAGGTATGTCATAAGGGGTAATCACCAATCAGCGGAAAAACCCAGACACTCCGACCGGTCCTAATCTCAGATTCTTTGGCTTAAGTTTCACTCTTCCCTGTGTTTGCACTGCATGAAGTCTCAGTCCTCCTCACGGGGACTGGGGGCGACGCCCCAGTCCGCCTGGAAAGCGTGAACACGTGAACGTGCCGTGCGAGCCCCTCGCTGGCCTGGCACCTCCTTCGCGGGAGCGCCAGGCCCTGCCCCCGTCAGGGGCCGTGCTCAGACAGCCCTGCCGTGCCTGCCTCCCAAGAATTCAGGGTGTCCTGAGCCATGGCCCCGCTGGGAAGTTCCAGCCGGTAATCTGAGCACTGACTCAGCAAAAGGGAAAACTGGCACTCCCGTTTTCTCCTGTCAAGGAGGACTGAGCTGCCAGGGCAAAGGAGAGGCGGCCGGTGGCACGGGCTGCAGGAGAGGGTCAGTACAACTTCCCCACAACTTTCTGCTGCTTCTCCAGACAACGGTCACTCTCGTGTTCACCTTCTACTGGTATTACTAAAGGACGACTCAGAATCCTTTCTCCAGAAATTCCTACTCCTACATGGTGTCCTTTCTATCAAGCGTAATTTCATAAATGCTTTAAAGAGGAAAATTAACCCAGATGACCTAAAATTTTAAGTTTTTGAGTTAAAATGTCCACACAGTCACATTTGAAGGAAATATCCAGCTCGATGTGGTGGTTCAAACAGCAAACGGATGGGGCGCCTGGCTGGCTCAGTCGGTTAAGTGTCCAACTTTGGTTTGGCTCAGGTCATGATCTTGCAGTTCATGAGCTCAAGTCCTGCATTGGGCTGTGCATTCGGTGGTATGGAGCATGCCTGGGGTTCTCTCTTTCCCTTTCTCTCTGCCCCTTCCCCACCTGCACTCTCCCTCTCTCTCTCAAAATAGATAAATCAACTTAAAAAAAAAACAACAACAACAACAACCACCACCAAAAAACGAACAGCAAATGGCTTCCATGTGCCAGGTAGGGCAGCACATCAATCCGTGAAAATGTCACGTTAACATCCACCGTTCTGCCCCTGCGTTCAGAGCACTGATTTCCTCATTCCAAAGCCTAAACCCATGGGAGCCTAAAAGGCAGGAGGAACTCGTCACAACAAACTGGCTACAAATTAGAATTCAAGACTGAATTGAAGGGGCAAAACACATCTGGTTTTATGCTGTAGGTCCCGGACATTTCTTAGCCAGTGATGACGTGATCTTAGAGGTCCTACATCCCACACAATCACGCTACCGCTCATAGTGAAATCAAGTACAGTTTTATTTAAGAATTGGAAATAATCAGTATCTGTGAAAGAAAATCCAATTTAAAATATTTAAATAAACATTTCTGCATGTAAAAAGAAGAGTAAAATAATTACTCCATTAAATTACTCTCCTAGCTATGGGACGGCTTCCTCTAGGGCAAGCGCTTGGGACCACCCCTGCCGGCTGGCCCTCCAAGCCCAGGACAAGGCGTCAAGCTCTCACAGCAGGGCGCAGAGAGCAAGCCTCTCCCACCAACCTCATCGAGCCACTACAGGAGCAAGATGTGGTGGGAGATCGCAACTATCTAAGGCAGTAAGAAAGTGCAGAGAAGGGACAGTGGGGGTCACTGTGCCTATTACGGAGGGGCTGCTACCAAAAAGCTGGAGCTGTGGCCAGCCCTCCTGAGCCTAAGCTACGAACACGTGTATTGGTTTAGGAATACTTCCCTATTGTATCCATCACTCAGAGTGTTAAATAAATGGAAGGGACTAATCAAGTTTAGTTTTGAGGCTCAAGAAGCAGTTCATACAGATGAAGGGGCAGTGGGGTACGCTGCCTTTCGCTTTCGGCCAGGCTCACCCCACTCACTACCTCTTTTCTGCGAGCTGCTATTCTCGGCCACAGCCTGCAAATCCTCATAAAACGTCTCACTTTACGCTGCTTCAAAGTAGCTTTGTTGTGTGCAGTGCCTTTTTTTCCATTTAAGGATCTCCACTTTAAAACCTGCAATGGAAAAAGTAAGTAATCTCTTGACAGTTTCTTAATTTGAGGGAACTGGTGACGTGGCCTTTACCCAAAAGCTTTTGGGAATACCCCAAAAGCCTGCACTTCATTAACCTGATTCTCTGCATGCACACTGTCACTGCTAAATTTATAAAGTTAAAAATAATCTGAAAATGTCAGTACTAGATGAAAGTCAATCACTTGCCAAATCCTGCCCCTAAGCAGTTCATCTTTTCTCCCTAAGTAACTGCTGACTTCTGCCCTGGGTGTACAAGTCGGGGTGAGGGCGCCCCCCCTAGTCCCGCCCCTGGAAGAGCTCTTTAAAGCCCAGGTGATGTAACAGCAGCACCTCGCCACAAAACACCAGGCCCACGTTCTGGGCTCAGGGGCCCGGCAGGAAGGTGGGCTTTGAGAATTCTAGCAGGTGGGGCAAGATGAGATCGCCAAACGCCAACACCTTTAGACTTTCTGTCCACAAAGCCAGGGGGCCATCATTAGCTGTTCTCCATCTATTAAAGACAGCTTCACAGCCCTCAGTGGGAATGAAAGTTGGGTCCAATCCCGGTAGATACAGCACAGCACTTTCCCTCAAGCAGCTGGGGATGGCTGCCAAAACCCCAGCCACACCCTCCTCCATTCTGCAGTCCCAGTGAGCGGAGCTGACTTTGCTAAGCGTGGTCTGGAGAACAAGTCAGAAGTGAGTCAACTGGAGTTCCCAGAGTAAGTGCATGTTGAGTCCCACTGGGGAGTGTTCGTGCCAGAAGGACCTGCTGCTGAGTGCTCCAGCGGCGGCCTCGGCCGGCCTGGCTGCAAGGCCCTCACGAGGGCCGATGGTAGAGTCCGCTCACACGGGCGAGCGGCATCCCAGGAATCAACAAACCCGTAAACCTCTTTGGTATACATAATAACAAAAAAATTAATTAGGCCATGAAATCTAGAAACAAGTGATGTTTCTGAGTTGGTAAAATGCTCTTCCGAACACATGTTTCCAGCGTCTGGTACAGCTAAGCAACGTCCACGTCTGTGTGACTCTGACACAGGATAGATTTCATTTACGCCATTCTCTCTCATCTAAGTATTAAAAACGTTTGACGTTGTTCTTCTAAGTTTTCACAACACCCCTATGAGGTAGGTGGTACTGACCCCATTCTACGGATGGGGAGTCTAGGCACGGAAAGGTTAAGTGGCTCCTCGAAGCCGCCCGGCACGGCGTGGCAGCACAGCAGCCCTCTAGCCGGGGCCGCCGCGGCCGTCGTAATCAGGCTCCGTTAGCGCCACCGCGGAACTGCAGGAAGGATTCCACGCGGAGACCAAGGCCCTCTCTGGTCCAGAATTAAACAAGGGTCCTAAAGCTTACGTACTTAAAGCCAACCACTTTCCCCAAACTTGAAAAACAAAAATACCGACTACATCTCCGTCGGGACCATTTGCTCTATTTAAGACTCTCGTACACTGACTTGCTTGAATGTTGCAGTGGTGTGTGCGTAAACCCCCTTGGGAAAGATGGTGTGAGATGATGTTAGAGATGGTGAAGTTCTGAGAACAGAACATAGAAATCAACAGTTGAGAGATTTCAAATGAAACAGAAAAGTATAAGCTATGGTGAAAGACTGAAATCCCAAACCAACGGAGAGCAATACTTCCCGGTGTCTGACGACGCCTTACACAGAGCACGTGCTCAGTGAGCATTTCTCTGTTAAAGGAAAAACGACACCCCTTTGACACGCCTGTGTCACTGACAACAGCCCCCTCTGGGGAGAAGAGCGGGAGCCAGGACCCCAGGGAAAGCCACAGGGGTCCAGTCTCCCTGGCCAGGGGTGCCCTTGTGAACACAAAGCCACTCAGCCAAGTTGTCTGGAGGTGTCCATTCTGCCAGATAAAAGTTGGGGCTATAAACACCAAGTGAGTCCCCTCTGAATCTATACTGCTATTTATAAAAAATAGATATGTAAATACGATTAAATATATTAAGAGCCAAAGTGCCTTATAAAGAATTATCTTAAAACTGTATAGATGCTCATGCACTTAAGCACAGAAAGAAGGAGGTCGAAGCTGTGCTGTTTGTGTTTTTCGGTTAAAGATTCTGAACGAATTTCTAACACTAAGCACTGATGCCCACATACCCCTTCCTGCAGAAGAAGCCTTACTCGACATCATGAGTGAGCCCACCTCTCCCGAGGGGTCTTGGTTACACTAAATACCTCGTGGGCCATGGGCTCTCGCCAGGGCCCTTCTGGAAGGGCACTGGTGAATATTGCTGTTATTTGCTCCTTGCCCACCTTTAATCTATGTCCTACCTTGATTGAGCCCAAGAACAGATTGCTCTAGGGTATGGGGTCCTTTGGTCCTAAGGCCTTCTGACCGTTTGGTCTCGAGTGATATTCCAGAAGAGTAACTGGTGACGCATAAAATGATTCAGAAAATCCATCCTGCGGCGTGGCTGCCGGGGGCAGTTCTGTCCCGGGCTGTGTGGCGGGGGGAGGCCCCTCGGCCCAGCCTGGCCCGCTCCGGCTGTGTTATAGCTCCACCTTGACCCCTTTTATAAAAGGCAGGCCTGTGGGCACCCGCTTCTTATACTCCAGGTACTCGTCTCCAAAAAAGTGAATTAATGAGATCTCCTCTTCTTCTGTCCGATCTCGGAAGAATCGCCACACCGTCAGAGCGTAGCCAACGCCACAGATGGGGTTGCACAGCATCACCTGACAGGGGACACAAAGTCGATCGGGGTCAGAGTGTTCCGACACCACGAACGTCAGCAGCACTGCTTCTCCTGAACACCCGCGGACGACTTCCTGTCAAGGGAAGGGCCCCAGAGATTCTCAAATACTATCGGGGTCTTTGAGAGCAGCGGCCAGGGCACACGCACTGAAACCACCCCACCGCTTTCACATTAGAGCTAAACGCTCATCACGGCAGTTTTCTTTCATACGCTTTTCTGTTGTTCCTCTTATGTGAGAGGTACCTAAAAATTAAAACATCAACTTCTCAGATTTCAGTCCTCAGGCTGACGGCAGCTCCCCGTGGGGCTCCTAGCCTGTCCCTTCCTGTTCCAGGCACCCCCTCCAGCCTGCAGCTGCCTGGTCCCCGGCCCCTGCCCCGCACCGCCCCCCCCCCATCCCCCTGCCGCCCCAGCCCATCCCTGTACCAGATCCACTGCTACCTGAGCTTATGAAATCACTTCTTTCTTCAAACCACTCCCCTGCCCCAACCCAGAAAAGCAGCACCTCGGCCACCTCCTCTGGCCCCTTTTCTCTGGACTGTACCCACTCTGACTGCCTCTCACTTCCTTACTCATGTGTTTTCCCCACTCTTAAGAATGTCTTCCCCACCGATCCACAGCCAAACAGTCCCTCCAGGCCAAGAACACCTCCCGGCTCTCAGGAACTTCCTGTGCTGTGTGGGAAACCCACTACTCCACCCCTGCCCCTTCTGATGGACCCCTACGGACACATGTCTTCCCCCAGTGGGCGATTTCCACCAAGAGCCAGGCACATGCCCTTGACTTCTTATTCCCATCACTACTTACTGGGCACTTAACCGTATT